TGCCTGCCTGCCTGCCTGCCTGCCTGCCTGCCTGCCTGCCTGCCTGCCTGCCTGCCTGCCTGCCTGCCTGCCTGCCTGCCTGCTCCTGGTAACCCTAGTTCTTTGTTGTCTGCCTTAGTTATCCTTTTTAGTTTTTGATCCCTCGAGGTCTGGTTTGTTTTTGTAAGTATTTCTAGTGTTTTTCTGAAGTGGGTCGTCCACTTCTATCTGCCTGTATCATGCCTCGGCCACACGCCAAATCCGCCCGGATCCATAACAGCGTATTGTTCTCATGAATGTTTCATTTGGGGATTTTTGCACACAGACTGATGCAGACGTGCAATGCAAGCTGTCACTACCTCGGGTTCTTCAGCCAATGAATTGTCTGGCTGGCGACACTAAGGTCATCACTTAGCTTTGCCAAGTGCATCTGTTACCATTTCCTTTCATATGATTAATCCATCTCATTTACAGATTCTCCTTTTTATTAATAATCAATTTATGAAATGTATTGTCTTATGTGTGAAGAGCTCAGCAAGGGGATCTGAGTGAGGCTGAGAGAGTATCTAAAGTGGGTATATTGTGTGTGAGTGTACCTGTTTAGTTATACTAATTTATGTAATGATAGTTTTACTAAGTGGGTGAATTCACAGCAAGGAAAGAACGGCCAGGTACTTCCTGTGACATCACAGAAAATCCTTGTCCTTAACCACATCATTCAATAACCATGCTGCCCTACAAGTCAGGCCTTAGCTGATGCAGGGAATGAATATGTAGGCTTTGGTGACCAACCTTGACAGGTATCTGAAGAAAAAAAATTATACCAAACGGTGGGAATTTAGAGCTGACAGAGGCAGCAAGACTGAATATAGAGCTGAGATTGTAACAGAAGGTTGTTAAGGGGCATCAGGGAGAGCTGCTGAAACAGAGATGAAATGTTGATTATACATGTGCAGATGGAAGATTTCATAGTAAGGGGGCAAGAAATATCCCATCTGAAGACGAGGTCAGGATTTTCCTTCTTGTGCATCCCACTGAAATAAGATTGACCTATAAATAATTGTAACAGAAAAAGGTTAAATAGTCAATGGGGTTTCTTGTAGCAATTTCAATTTCAAAGATTGGTAAAAGATTTATTCAGCCGATACCTGATCATAAGATAATGAAGTAAGCATTAATACATAGCAATTTACCCCATAGTGCATGGAAAAACACTCATACACACACAGGTTTGTAATTATACCTTTGTGGGGACTCTCCATTCTTTTCTTTTGGGAAAACTCTAATCCCAACATGATGACCTTAACCCCTACCCAGCCCTAACCTTTACCTTAAGTAATCAAACAAAATACAAGACTTCTGGCATTTTTCCTCTTTTTATTGCATTCACAGATCTTTGTGGGGACCTGAAAAATGGTCCCGACAATGTAATATAAACCTAACACGTGCACGCACATACACACACACACACACATGCACCATCACTAGGGTTACCACTAACAACTGTTAACAGGTAGTAATGCAACAGACAGTACATGAGAAACAGTCAATGATATGAGAAATGTAAATGGAATCCCTTTTCCTAGCATAATTAAAAAGGAATAATACAGCTGACTAATTACATCCTTTCATTTTCCAATTAATTATCCTGGTTAGAGTTGAAGGGATGCTTGGAGCCTGTTTCAGGCAGCAGAGGGCAGAGGGCAGGGGCACACCCTGGATGGGATGCAATACAACACACAATCATATGCTATGGCCAATGTAGAGACTCTAATAGCTTAACTCAGTATTTCTCCATCCAGTCCTCAATGACCCCCCAGACAGTCCACATTTTTTCTCCCTCCCAGCTCCCAACCAATCAAGAACAACGAATACCTAGCCTTGGGAACTGGGAGGGAGCGAAAATATGGAATGAGGACTGGGTTAAAAAATGCAGGCCAACCTGTGTATCTTTGGACTGTGTGATGAAAACAGAGTAACCTATGCAACACAGGGAGTATAAAGCACATAGAGCAGAGGCCACATTCAAGCCAGCAGTGCTGGAGGTGTGAGGCAACAGGGCCACTAAATGCATCTTGGGAAAAAAAATCTCCCACCATAACTGAAAAGCTCAGTTAGTTGCTGACAAGTGCTGCTTGGCTTTGCTTGAGGAATTAATCAGTGGTTTGGGAGTGCCTGTGATCGAAAGGTCGCTAGTTCGAATCCCAGGATTGGCTAAATGATCAGCATGGTGAGGAAGGCCCTTAACCCCAACTGTTCCAGGGACTGTCTGATCCTGCTTTCCCAAAAAAGTATGTTGCTTAGGATAAAACATCTGCTAAATGAATTTTTAAAAAATGACAAAGAGAGCCAGTAGAGAACAGGAAGGACAGTTGTTGGCTGCAGTTAAAGAGAGCAAAGAAGATATATATATATATATATATATATATATGGAGTTTCACTGTGATGGCTTGAGGAGGGAGGCATATGACAGCTAAAAGGAGCCTGCAGAGCAAGGTTGACTGGTCAGATGTACCTGAACAAAGAGCTGAGACAGACTGACAAGAAAGCACAAAGCCAGCGTGATGATTCTGTATCAGAGTTTCCTTATATAGTCATCCCTGGTAACCAGCGAGAATCTGAAGACAGGGCAGCAACTTTGGCTGCCATCCAAGATCCTGTAAGGGTGAAAAAAAAAGTCAAGAGAGGCAGGAAGTGAGTTTTCTTAACAGCAGCTTGGCAGTTTCACAGTAGTCAAGGAACAACCTCAGGAATTTGTGCGTTTGGACGATCGGACCTTTAACGATTACACTTTCTGGAGTCCCTTTAGGGATGTAGGAGAGTGGGAACAATTACCGGGAGCACACTGTGTTGGAGGCAGAGGACAAACTCATTTATGAGCGATGGAAGGGGGAGAACTGTGTGACTGCATTCTTCTGGGTGACCTTTTTCTGCCCCCTCCGTATTGGTAGAAGACATGTATAATTTCAGATCTAGTCAAGGTCAGGTTGGAGTTTTCCTCCTGGTTTAGCGACCAATGACCTGGGGGGTGTTTCCCAAAACCTCCCATTAGCAATATACATAGCTGGACTCATTCAGTTGCATGGTTCCAACTATGTAAGATGCTAACCTAGTTAGCAATTATGGTTTTGGGAAATGCATCCCTGATTGTTAAATGGTACCTAAGGGAAAATCACAGTAGTCTGGGTGTGACTGCGACATTAAGTGAACATTTTCAACATTTTGTACATTCTACTTCAAAGATCTCTCTCACTCCAGCATGCGCTGTTGTCAAGTGTACAAAATTTGGTCATTGATGCGAACATTTTGTTTTGAAACCAAAACCAAAAATATGAACTATATTAATGATAAGCAAAGTATTACTTTAGCAACACAGAATTTTAAAATGGTAGTGGAAAGTATTTGATGTTTGTTTTATATGCATAGTTTTGTTTACTTGTAGTTTTTTCCAGATCTTATTTTTTTCAGTTTACAAATATTTTTCCTACAGTTTTAGTTTTCATTATCAATAATAATGCTGGTCTGACCACAAGTTTTGGATATAATGCAGTGCATAATTTAGTTTATAATGGCTAAACATGCAAGACAAATTAACAATAGCCCATAGACACCTCAGTGCTGACCACACAGATTATGCTCAATGGATTCATTCACCCTTTTTTTGTTATATTTCTAAACAAATTACCCTCTGACATTTTTGTTACGATGCCAGTTTCTCTCGAGTTTCCTTTAAAATATTTTCAAGGCAAGCCTTTAGCAATGACCTTGCATGCACTAGGTACAGAGATCTCTTTGTCCGAGCAGAAAGCTGCCAGATTCATCTTAATCGATCATCAGCTCAGCATTATGGTCGGAGGAGCAGAGCATCACTTTTGTTATGGTGATCTGGCGAGATCATGCGTCTGAGCTGCTCTTGCGCCTTCTGTGCCCTCCTCTCACTTAACTCCTTAGCAATTTCGATAATATTTTGTTTGAAATAAAAAAATAAGTTAAATCATTGAAAATGTTAGTAATTAATTATCCTTAAGACTTGAGGCGAGAAAATCGAACAAAAACACAATAAAGCAAATGTCTGAAAACTCCAGGACTTGATCTCCATCTCTCTACCTACAGCAAGCAAAGAGAAAGCGTGCGGGGACCCTGAAACACAGCTGCCACAGTCAACCCCAAGATGCGTGTGAGAACTTACTGTAAGCAGACATTCTGTCCACTGTGTCTCCTGCCATATGTTTCCTGGAATAGATTCTAGTAACCCTTTACTGGATAAGTAAGTAGAAGATGGATGGATAACCACATCCTTCGGCCCAGTGACTCATATTAGGTTTCGAAACATTGCTGGTTATTTGAAACATACTGTAGAGCGAATATGTGCGTACCCACTACAACATCATGATGAATCTATGGACTGTTCCAGGTGCCATAGGGCTGAAGATAGGGATGGGATCCATCTCATACTTAAACCAAATTTTCAAATTAAAAATTTACCACAAACTTTATCAGATTAAGGCAATTGAAGATGTACTATTGTAAGGATGTCTTCAAGTGTGTGGCTCTATCGGTTAAAATCCTGTGATCAGAAGGTTATTGGTTCAAATCCTGTGGTGGGCAGTGTCACAACTCGGGAAGGAGGGAGGCGAAGGCAGGCATCAGGGAAAGCGGAAGGGGCTTTATTCCAACCAAAACACGATACAAAGGGCAAAAAGGAAACACAGGGCTCAGGGCAACCAGAGGGGCGGGCAGGCAGGCAGGTGGGCACAACAGATGAGGGAAAAGACAAGAAGCACCTGGGATCATCCACATGAGGACTGAAATGAGAGGCACCTGGGATCATCCACATGAGGACTGAAATGAGAGGCACCTGGGATCATCCACATGAGGACTGAAATTAGAGGCACCTGGGATCATCCACATGAGGACTGAAATTAGAGGCAGGGTTAAATGAGGAACAGGTGCGGCTCATTAGCTCCACACCACGAAGAACACAGGAGCAAAAGGCATGTGGGGCGTGACAGACAGAGTAATGTTACCACTAGGCCCGTGAGCAAGGATCTCAACCCCAAATGCTCCAGGGACTGGCTGACCCTGCCTTCTCAAGTATATTTCACTTTAGATAAAAGTATCCTCTAAAAATTATTGATGTTCAAATATTACTACATAAAATTAAAACCATGGCCTGTAATACGCATATTTTATATTTTGTTTTATTATTAATGCTAAACTTGCTAACCTACGGAATGGTCATGAATGCAAATAATAAGTCAGAGACTGTGATTTTATTATGAATACATCTTTAATTAATGAGCCTTTTCTTAATAACTGAGAATGAAAACCCGCCCTTTACCTTATTGTATCCCATCGAACGTCTAATCCGTCCAATCAGACTCCAGTCTTATCACCATACTCAGGATTTCGTTTTTATTATGCTTATACTTATATAATCTTGATTCATTCTAGGCAATTACTTTTAAAATAACCAGTTTAAAACACCGGATTATGTGCAAGTGGTGTATCTTACACTGTGTCATACATTAATAATAATTATTAATACGGTTTTACTGGCAGGTAGTTGTGTGATCGGCATGCACATAAACTAATATTGGAAATAATATATATATTATAAAAATATATAAAAAATATATTTTAAAAAAATTTAACGCAGATTGTGAATTAATGCAAACTTTCACATTTGTGTTTAGTTGCATATTTCAGACGCTAGTTTGGAGCAGATTGGGTTTGTGCGAGGGGGCGTTATGATAAGGGGACAAAGGGTCATTTTGGTACCTCCTATTTCCTGGTAATCCCGTTCTACCGTAGTTTCTACGGAAGTGCCTATAACACACGAGAAATACTTATTACCCATGGACGCTGTATTTCGATAATAAATTATCCTTGTTAGTAACGTCAGCAAAGATAATGGAATAGATTTAATAGGCAGCAGACGGATGTTTGTGACAAGGCTCTTTTTTTTCTTAGCGTGCAAATTAAAATCGCAAACTGAACTCTAGTGACTTTTCTGGGGTTCATTACGTGTGCGTCGCCTGCTATCGCTAGAGTGACAAGCGCTTACGCCAATTATAGCGGCCCGCAAAACGCCAGCCTGTCAGTTGCTTTTACATAGACGGAGGACAGCAGAGGGAGTGTCGATGGGTAGTATAATCCTGAAAGCAAGACTACGCGGGTATTGTCGGAGAGAAGTATAGAATTAGAATTCCCATGTTATGCGGGGAATTCAGTTTGCATCCAATTTCTGCAAAAATCTTTAACTTCCCGAAACTTTCTGCGAGTTGAATAATAATAATAAGTAGGCCTACATGGAGCCAGTGAAGTACTACAGACTCTCAGAAGTAGAAGAACACAAGTCTCCCCATAATTGCTGGATTGTCATCAACAATAAAGTTTACGATGTTACCAAATTTCTGGAAGAGGTGAGAGAAGCTTAATTATTGACGTCATTATCGGGTTAGGGTATCATTCGTACCAATGGGAAAAAGGCACTGTGCTGATACCTATTTTAAAATGACAATGGACAGTCAGAAGATAAACTCTTTGAAACGAATCATGAAAAACAACAGCTATATCCATGAATATGAATGTTTGATTTACTAGTATAGTTTTTAGCTTGCGGTTTGAGGTAAATATTATTGCACAACAGGGCATGTTGCCTTGAGCTAAGTTAGAGGTGTTCCCCTAAAATTAATATCCTTAAACAAAGGAGCTGTCTTGTTGACTGATGAATGTCGGTGTGCTTTGTAACAAAATCTTAATGATAGGTGTCTGTATTGAGAGTGAATGGTATCGGAATTATATTGTTACTACAGACGACTCTAATTAGATCTAATTAATGAATACTTAAAATATACTGAATATAATTAGATGCCATTGGGTTACACATTTGCATAAACTTTTATTATACAGCCTGCCCACCTATATACACATGCTACTCCCACAATATTGACACGGTTTGACATGGACATGTCCCTGCCATCCACACCCAAATCTATACCCTTGCGTGTAATAATTGCTATTGACTCACTGGAGAGAAGGTCAGCAGGCGCAGGCATAGTACACGCATCAATGTCCTGGATCATAGTACCGGAACGTACCTGTATTTGCAGCGTCTGGGTTGGTGAGGATAATTCATTGTGATTTGCAGCCAAAGTAGCTGGAGAATGGAGACTCCATGATGGACATACCTCTAGTAACCTGTTCTGCCATTTTTATGATTGTCTACTTGGCTTTTTTTCACCTTAGATTTATTGTTCCAAACCATCTGGCGATGCCTCTGTTCAGGATATCCACGAGCAATGTCTCCTCAGGCTGGCCTTTTTAAGGTGCAGTGAGAATTACAGGTGCCGTTGCACTCATTTGATGATGGGTCTGCTGAGGTCATTTGAAATGCCAGTCTGGATTCTTCTCGGCGTCAACATGCTCCACATCAGTGCTTTTGATGTAAATAGCAAATGGTGAGGAGATCTCTCTGAAGACCAGGATTACTTCCTTTGTGTTACTAATGTTCAAGACAAGGTCATTCTCCTCACCAAGTAGCAGTGTATTTAATGTTTTCATTAATTTCCTTAATAATTGATTAAATGTCACATATTCCTCCATTTATTGAATTTGTGCACTACGCAACAGGTTGACTGGCTTCATGGGATCGTGTTAATAATTCATTGCATTTTGCCTCAGTCAGGGTAAATAATTTCTCACATGTCACTGTGAGCGTATGCAGGGAGTCCAAAGTCGCAGCCTGGCTCATTACATTCAGGCCAAAGGAGCAGGAGAGCAAAGGTGAAACAACAGCAGGTCTTTTCTCTTTCACAGAAGAGGCTCCTCACCTATAAAATGTAAATTTAATGGCTTTAACCCTTCCACGGACACAAGATGTGTAGTCAAGCTCAAACAGTGAATGACCAATATGCCAGATGATTCTTCCTGGAGGAATTAACTGTAATGTTGAAATGTGCATTTTCTATAGTGTTTAAGGTTATTTTTCTTTGGCATTCTGGATTTGACAGGTGCACTTTAATACACAGGCTTACCCGGGCTAAAACTCAGGGGCCTCCTATAAAAAGGAACTTGAACTTTTCTTGTTTGATAAAATTTTAAACGAGTTGCCAACGTCCTGTTTTGATCCAATCGTTTGCCCAGTGTTGTCGCATCTAGATCAAAATAGAAATTAATCTGAACCGTGTGACTGATCCCCACCCCAACAATTTTTTACATTTTGTAATTGGGAACCCAACCCCCTGGTCGACAATTACACAATCCTGAATTATAGCAGGGGGCCCTTTTACAACTCAAAAAGCCCGGGGGCTTCTGACCATAATAATGTGCCTCTGAGTAGGCAGATGGCAATCTTGCCTGATTTCGGCATTACTGGTTCTGCCAGCTACTGTACGTTTCATCACACCTTAACCTTTCTTATAGTTTAACTCCAAAAACAAGGCATTGCTGGAAGCCATGAATACATATTAAATATTTATTATAGCTAGATATGTTTGGGAAAATTAGCTAATCCTTATAACCTTTTCTGTTTAACTCTTCAGTTTGTCTGCAGGCTGCATTTTATGACTACTCCGAGCCGTTTCAGGGTTCTGAGATCACGGTGGGCTTTCTTGTCCCTAGTCCTCTTTGAAGTGTCCCCAGTCCTCTTTGAAGTGTCCCCAGTCCTCTTTGAAGTGTCCATAGTCCTCTTTGAAGTGTCCCTAGTCCTCTTTGAAGTGTCCCTAGTCCTCTTTGTAGTGTCCCCAGTCCTCTTTGAAGTGTCCCCCCTTGACCGTTTATTGCTCGTCTCCCATCTTGCTCTCTGCTGGGCTCTTTCTCACCCAGCATCCCGGGGGTGTGGAGGTCCTGTGTGAGCACGCAGGGGGCGATGCCACGGAGAACTATGAGGACGTGGGACATTCCACCGACGCCAGGCAAATGGCTGAAAGTTATGTCATAGGAGAGCTGCATCCGGTAAGAAGCTGCCCCCCCGCTGGCTGCGTTTCCGGCAATTACAGAAGCGGTTGGCCAGCCTGGTCTTCCAGAGCCTCACGTTTTGCAGGTTTCGATTCGAGTTCGGCTCTCAGTTGGCCATTACTATCAAAGCATCTAGACAAACCTGATGAATCACCTTGACACTGTACTGTGTGAATCCCAGCTCGTTTAAAACGCTTCTATGATACCTTGTTTGATTTGCTTGTGACATCTTCACTGAAGATGACAAATTTGTAATCAACCAAATTTGCATCAAGCTACCCTGTCCAGGAACAAATACAAAATTATTTGTTCAGAGAGCAATACGTACGCAAGGGGGAGATCAATAACATTTGCAATTCAGTTCCGTTTGACTTGTCTCATCAGGTTCAATCAGCGTCTCAGGTTAACGAAACTTAGTCACTGATTTAATTGTGTCAGTGGTCAATGGTTTGTATGGAAATAAATAGGAGAATTCTACACACTGTGGGACACTTCTTTGATTGATAGGCTTTATGGTTTGTTGGTCATCTTGTGTAACTGCACAAATCATACGCAGTTTACATTACCTCCTCGCTACTGCAAAACCTCTGAACTTTTTATTTATTGCCTGTTTGCACGCCCTGTTACTGTGATGCTAAGTGTACTATATGTTACTATATGTTACACCGGGGCATGAAGAAACATTGTTTCATCACTCTTTGTATAGGTATGAAGCTGCTGCTGACAGTAAAGTAACCTTGAACCTTGAACATCTAATATAGGTTTTTATTACTATATTATACAGTGTGAGGCAGTATCGCTGACCCTGGCAGCAGTTTCCAAAACTGTATACAGTATTTTAGCGTATATATTGGGAACCAATCATTGTATTTAAATAAGTGTCACTCAGTTTTATCTGATTCGCATTGACTTAAACATAAATGCTTAAATTACCAATTTTTACAAGTTACAGGTAGGATTGTGTAATTTTTAGCAGTAATTACCCAGATATATACTTCCTCTTGGTAACATTTCTGATCCTTGTCATACATTAATCAGCCTCATAGGCTGAGACTATAAGAAAGTGTTAATTTGCTTATAATTGGCTAAGACTACACTACTGATGGCATTATATAATTAGCAAAGAAAATCCACAGCATGGCTTCTGCATGTTTAAAGCTCTTAAGTGTTATGCCAAGTTGGTTAATATTGAGAATTGTATTATACAGCATAATGGTTGCCTGTATGCATATTAAATTAGTAATGATTAAGTGTTTACTGTTTGCCTGATTTACCGCAGTAGTTTATTAGTTACTTGGAAAAATTATTTACTATCTATGGAATTAACTGTCGCCTATAGGATTTCCTTTGTTGCTGTCTGATATTTTTATTGATTATTGATTTTTTTTTTCTTTTCAAAGGAGGACCGAGAGAAGATTGTAAGTTCCCTGGTAAGTAATGTGTGTGTTGAATACCTTTTCAGGATGATTAATTGCAGTAACTTCTGAATGAAAAACTGTACCAACACAAAGACCTTCTGTCAGTGTCAAGAATGGCCCCAGTGACTATAGTTTTTGGCAAGCAGAGGCAAGAATAGAGAATTTACTACTACAAAGTGATCATTCAAGATTGTTGAGTATGTTGATGGTTTCGTTCTGCTTAACTACACAACGATTTAATGAAAGGCACTAAACTAAATGTTAAAATAACAGACTATTTTCAGTCATTTTGCTTACTTACCATACAGTACATTACTTAATGGCTTTTAGTTCTTGGCACTATGTTAAATATGTAATTGTTTAGTTTCATCTGAAGAAAGTAAACTGATACTGTAAGATATACCGCATTTAATTTTCCCTTTTCAACGGTTTATAAAAAATAACAAACAAAAGACAGCATTTACATTAGTTATACCAATTTTTGTATCAAAATATGATTCACAGGACTTTGAAAACGATGAATAGCTATTTGGTCCCAAAAATAAAATGTAAAATGAATTAATAACTATGAAGGAGTCACATAGGTTTGCTTTGGTTTACTGGCTTTTATTTTTTCCGCAAGCTCATTGCATTATGCAAATTAAATTTATTTATGTTCTCCTTCCTTAGATGCCCCCTGGCAGCCATTTTCAGGACAGCACAAGGTACTGCTAATGGAGCCATTATAAGTACTCAATAAGTACTTGATAAGTAACTGATAATTACTCCACATCTGTCAGTATGTACAAGGCTGGAACCAGGCATAAGCAAACTGGGCAGCTGCACACACACGCACACACACATGCACACACATACACACGCACACACACATACGCACACACGCACGCACACACGTGCACATAAATTAGTATGTTTTTAAAATTATTTCTAAATGACATATATTTATATAAGAATAATTTGATAAAAAACAATTAAAAAATGCATAAAATGATATTGTTTACAGGCAGACACATGGTCGGCTTGAGCTATAGGCAGAACAGACAGTGACTCAGGGCTGCTGAATTACCCACGTTGCGGAGGAAGTGAAATGATCACCACTTTTCTTGCTGGGGGGGCCTCCCAAGTAAAGGGGAGCCCCTGAAAAGATAGTTCCAGCCCTGGGCATCGTCAGGTCCGATCACTTGAGCTATATCCCCGAGTATTTTAGCCCTGGTGCCAATCTTACTTCAAGAATGAAAAGTCAAGCCCCAGCTGAACTTGGCTTAGCCCCCTGATCTTTTCAATAGCTAGAAACGCCCCTGGTACCAGCCTTGGCTGTATTAACTGTATTCTGTGGTTATATGTGCTTGTTCCTTACCCAGGACTCCACATTTCCCTGTAAGCCACTTAATCTGGTTGTTTCCTTTTCCCTCTAGCTGGTGGTCAAACTGGGTGATCCCTGGTCTAGCGGCGCTGGCTGTCACGGTCATGTACCGCATGTATATCTCCGAGGAATGACCCGTGTAGACCAGTCCTGCGTTACCATAGCCTCCCAGCAAACCATATGCAGTGAAAGGGCTTCATCACTATGATTATTATCTAATTATACACTGTTGTGTAAATGAAGACTTTATTTCTTGTGTGCATTCTGAGTCACACCCCTCAGAGATACTTTGATGAATCAACAAAAAGAAAAGCCGCCGCTGTGCCTGACTTTATGCTCCTTTTACTTTCTCTCAATCACTTTTGCAGTTTCAAAACCCACCTTCTGATGTAAATGACTTCAATCAAGTGTTTAAATAGTCAGGAGCGATTAAGCCTTATAATTGAAAACCTATTGACAGTATTAAGCTAGACAAATTAAATATTTATGTGGTGTTAAATAAAGAATCAACGTCCACTTTGCAGAAGTAAAGAGGCGCAGTGAAGTCTGTCCTTACACAATTTACCTGCTGCTGCTTGCTGCTATTCCAGTCAAAGAGAAACTTGATGCATTCTATGGACAGAGTAGGGGTAGGGTTGGGATGGGGTGTCTCACCTTCACATCATGTTTATATATGTGTGTGTGTCAATCTGTCTGTCTGTCTGTCTTTCTGTCTGTCTGTGTGTCTGTCTCATCACTGTATCCATAAACTTGCAGTTAGTCTAACTGGCATATTCAGTTCAGTTCAATCAGTCTAACCGACTATTAGTTTCTCATATCTAAGTTGTCCATTGCATGTGTGCCCTGCAATGGACAGGCATCCTACCCAGGGTGTCCACTGCCTTGTGCCGAACGCTGACTGGGATAGGCTCCAGGCCCCCCTGTGACCTTGATCATGATGATGGATGGATGGTGTAAAAAGTAGAAAGAAAAGGCCAATTCTAAAGTATTAGGTTCTGGGTTATTCATTTTAAATTGAAAAATTGTATATGTTCTAATCTTAATTAATAGTACTATAGGGCTCAAAGCACAGGTACACTCTGGATTCATGTCCATTGTATGGGCACAGCAACAATAATAATAATAATAATAATAATAATAAGTAAATCATTTACAATTACCATGATGCATTCTCACTTTTAATGGCTTCAGGAAAATGCTGGGATTTGCTTAACAAATTGCATCTTGCTTTAGTCCTTGACTTTTCAGAACATATTGTCTTCCCCGAAGGAGAAAATACATAAATATGCAAATCAGAAATCATTAGCAAAGTAAGAGTGAAGCAATTAGTAGCTATGCCGTTGTAGGCCGTTTTCATCACTCTGGATGAAATAATAACAAAGCAGCATTTAATTACTCTGCGGGGGGAGGAAGGGACCGGAAAGGATAAAGGTCACCTGTGTCGCCCCCTGGCTCCCACAGCAGATACTGCACTGAGTACCCACCATGCAAGTCGTGTAATACACTTCCAGAGGATTCATAGGAATGTGAAACCACACCAATCTGCTGTAAAATCTGATATTAAAATCAATGAGTGTAGTGATTTTATGAGATCCTAATTGTATTCAAGAGGCTGCTGTCTTTGTAGTTTTTGATTGCATACAATGCCAGTTAAAGCCCATTTGGAGTCTTTGGCAAGCTTTACCGTCAGCGCCCCCCAGCTAAGTCACTGCCCCCTCAGAAGATGAGGCCCTTGGTGGCAGTCTGCTTCACATACTGTAATTGGTTGTCCGGCACTGATTGTATAGATGTTTGCCTGTGATATAAAGATAAGTTAGAACATCATTGATTTTTCTCCCTTCATTTAATTGTTGTTGTCCTACAGTATTACCTAGATAAATAACTCCCAGCACAATAAAATGATAATAATAAATGATAAAATAGGTTACAAGAAATTTAATTTCTTGAAGGACTGACGTCAAGAGCATTCCCCCAGGCCGGTCAAATTAAGTGTGTTTATGCTGAGATGTTTTTATAGCTAGATAAGATTACTTTAAGCAACTTTAAGCTATTAGTTAAGTTCTCCCCAAACGAGCTTTATGGGCTGAATTGTCTCCTCTCGTTTGTAAATTTCTTATGTTCTTATGTTCAACATCAATAGTGATTCAACTCTTAAATCCTAGTACAACAAAAGCTTCTTATTTATGAAAATATTAAAGTTTTACAGTCTTGTCAGTTAACCATGAAACCTTGTAACACATAGAGTTGCTAAGGTAATATACACTGATGCTATATAGCCACATAATGACATTTCAGTGAACAATGGGCAGCATTTACGACAGTGCCGTCACAACATCATATTGCAACATCATATCGCAACACGTTGCTTATGTTTGTGGAGAAGCTGGTGTAAGCAAACCTACTGCTCTGCCCATCGTATAAATGCATAGCACATATAATAATGTACAGTAGATAGTACTTCTTATATAAATTTTAGATATTTCATTACTTATAAAAAAAGTTTACTGTAGCCAATGTTTGAAGCATGCCATACTAATGTTCACCCAATGACAAAACCACCTAACGACACATTTCTTGGTACGTATCCCTGTCATTAAACAGCGTTTGACTGTATTTTCATTTCAAACACTGCAACAGTAGGAAGGTTTAGTTCAGCTATGAGGAATAAAACACCAAATGAGAAAGTCATCTCGAAACTAGCTTTGATTAGACCAACCTATCATATTCCTTCTCAGACTTACCATGACAAGAACCAAAATAACTTTGGCCATGATGTCATGGCATTTCCAGAAAGAGGTTTCCATTTTCCTCCCTTGCATATGATTTGAATTTTATGGTACATTTATTTGTCAAACGTTAATCTGTTGATATATATTTACTTCCTGTTTTATGTTAATCTATCCAAGTTTTTACCACAAAATCTTTTCTCAGGAAATGGGTTTCCTCAATTTAATTAGTAAATTGAACAAAGTAATTAATAATCATTTGCAGCTTATTCATTCTTACTGGGATTCCAGTCAATCACAGGTCTCACACACGCTCACCCACCATCGGCCAATTGGAGATACCAGTTACTGGACCACATGTTACTAGACTGTGAGAGGAAACCGGAACACGTGGAGCAAACCTTTGCAAACACGGGGAGAACATGCAACCTCCATAGACACACGGTGGCCCAATGGGTCACACTTTGGACTCACGTCTTCAGGTTCAACTCTTGCCTGAGTAAGGTGTGTGCAGATATGCCTTTCATATGTAATTTCTACCCATTAAAGACTGCTGCCCATTCCATGGCGCCCTCTGCTTTGTGCTTTCTGGAATAGCATCTAGACTTCCTTAATACCTGTATTGAATAAACTCTGGAAAATACATGTAGAATGTATTGTTATACTAAATATGTATTTATGTAAGTCGCTCTGGCTAAGGGCGTCTGCCAAATGATGATGTAAATGTATTGAAGATACATGCAGTGTATCATATACCTGCAGAACTGTATCTTGGAGTAGTATGTAAATATGCAATGGAAACTGAATTTGTAAATATGTAAACTGGAATAGTATGTAAATTTCAGCACACTGTTTTAATAAACATGAGTGTCAGGTGTTAAAATATAACATGGGTGTCAGCATTGGCTCAGTAGGTAGCAGGGGCATATTAACTTTCCTGGGGACCCTATAGGTTGACATCAACATGGAGCACTATGGTGAAGCACCAAGTATTGTAGATTGAAGTGACTGTTCCACTTTTCCTGAAGTGGGGCCCTGACATATAATAATGCAGTGGCATAGAACAGCAGGATAAATACAGTGGCAATAGTTTGATAGTAATGAATGAGTAGTAAAGTGACCGGTGTCAGTGAAGGGAGATTGGGTATTTTTAGGCTCCTGACAGCCTCGGGGAAGAAGCAGTTACCTGGCAGGACTGGTTCGGATGCTCCTGTACTTTCGGCCAGACAGGAGTAGGACAAAGAGATTCCTGAGAAAGTTGGGAGGTGTCCTCCACAATGCTGCAGGCTTTGCAGGTGCAGAGTTTGAGGAAAGATGTCTTTCATGTAGGGGAGCGAAATCCCCATGATTTTCTTTTCTGCTGCATGCAGTCTGAGACTTTGCAATCCCCAATCCAAACAGGGACACAGCCAGTCAGAACATTGACACCGTTGCCTCACACCTCCAGGGTTGAGGGTTCAAACAAAACTCACACTTTTTGTAGGCACCCCCTCCATATTCATGTGAGTCTCCTCTGGATACTCTGGTATCCTCTCACAGTCCAAAACATGCCATTAGGTGGACTGTCATCTCACATTTGCCTTGTGATGGACTGGCATCCTTCCCAGGATGTTCTCCTGCATGTGCTACTGGGGATGGACTCCAGATCATCCCCACTACCCTGTACTGAATAAGTGGTTGCAAGATGGATGGACAAAATGCACAAGTAAAGAGATTAAAAGCAGATTCAAATCAGAGAAACATTGTGAAGATGTTCATTTGTTCACAATTGATCCATTCATCTTCCATAGCTACTTACAATATGCTGGGTTGGCTTGGACCCTATCCCAGGAAGCATAAGGCAGGGGACAGCCTGAAGAGCAGAGCATTTCAGGGCACCTTCACAATCCCGAATTTACAAATTCACAAGTTAGGAGTCTTCAGACAGGAGCGGTCCTTGCCAAGGGCATACACAGAGGCGGGGCCACAGGGGCAATAGCTCCAGCTGAAAGCTGATTGGCTTCCAGAGTGCCTCCTCCCCTGTCACTCACTGATTCAAAACATACCATTGGCTAATCAAAAGGTTGGTCCCTCTCAATAAATTATGCCCCTTTTTTATCTCTACCACCTTAAAAAAATAGTAAAATTGCCCTTGGTCCTTGTAGACTTACTTGGGGTCCACCGGGGGGAATTGCACACAGCTGCCAAGGCAGAGATCCTGATCTGAAAGAGAAGTGAAAATGAGCCAGAGGTGTGACTCTGTGAATTCATTTACATGTATTTATTCAGCAGACACTTTTGTCCAAAGTGATGTGGAAGTGAGGAGAGCTTGTGATCAAAGAGCAGGGTTAGCCAGCAGCCAGCAGCCCTAGAGCAGTTAACGGTAAGAGCCTTGGTGAATGGCGACACACAGCAGCATCGGTAGTGATTTATGGAAACCTGGGCTAAGCCTTTGGGCTGTGATTTTAATAAAAATGAATGAAAACACATGATTTAAAATAATTAGGAAACATTTATTTTTTGGGGGGGGGAGGTAAAGAACATTTTTCTTTGGGGGGGGGGGGCAGTACAATTACTCTACCAGCAACAAGATTCAAATCCATATCCTTCAGGAGCTGAGCACCAGACAGAAACGTCCTGAGCTACACGCCACTCCACAGTGGGTTTCTTACAGAGGTGTGTGATGTGTCGTACATCACTAAGTACCTGTATATAAAGCTCCTTCAGAGGTCTGCTCTGAAAAGCATGGGGAAGGTGTTGAAAGGCGGCCTCTTGAATATTCATCGCTAGCACCAATTAGCGGCTTCGCTAGCTGCTCTTTACTGAGTCATTCCCCAGAGGCTCCCGGCTGCTCCTTCGCCTTCCATTCAAGACATGCTCCGAATGCTCTCAATATAATCTCCCAAATATTCTCTACCTTTTATTATGCTGATAGGGCTTAGTTGCCCTGGGTCTTTTCTGTACAGCACTTGGCTATCTCTGTTTGGATATAACCAAAGTACTTATCAAGAAAATATCCTTATTTTTCAGCATTCATTTTTGCCTCAAGGGTCCCCGGCAGCACTCAGATGTTAAGCCCTGCAACAGGGTCCAGAGAGGAAAACCACACATCAGCTTGTGTCAGCTGAGTGAAACCGTCTGAGTGAAACTCAGAATCCTGTCTGACGATCTGACTGAGTGGCATCAAGAGATGATTAAGACGGTCATGTTGCTGCTGTGCAATAAAAAAAAACGTGTATCTCTAAAAATCCATTATTTCAGGAGTGTGAACAAATGCATTTTCTCAGAAACTATTTTATAAAATACACCTAAAACAAGGTAATGCGATACCCTTAGCACCTCAAATACCAGCCTATCTTTACACTGTCAGTGAATGGTTTAATGTTTTAAATGGATAAAAATATTGGGACACACCTCTTAATTGTTGAATTCACATGTTTCATTCAAGCTTATTGCCCCAGGTGTATAAAATCAAGCACCTAGCCATGCAGTCAGGTTTACAAACATTTGTGAAAGAATGGGTCGTTCTGAAGAGCTCAGTGAAGTCAAGTGTGGTACTGTCATAGGATGCCACCTTAGCTATAAGTCAGTTTGTGATATTTCTTCCCTGCTAGATATTCCACAGTCAACTGTAAATGGTATTATTACAAATTAGAAGTATTTAGGAAAAACATAAACTCAGCCATGAAGTGACAGACCACGTAAAGTAACAGAGCAGGATCGCCAAAGCTCTGTTGACTCAATAACTACAGAGTTCCAGACTTCCTCTGGCATTAACCCCAACACAAAAACTGTGCACTGGGAGCTTCATGGAATGGGCTTCAATGGCCGAGCAGCTGCATTGCAGTGGTGTAACTCACACCTCGACTGCACTCTGGAGCAGTGGAAACATGTTCTATAGAGTGACAAATCACGCTTCTCTGTCTGACAGTCTGATGGACGAGTCTGGGTTTGGGAGATGCCAGGAGAACGTTACCTGCCTGACTGTACTGTGTCAGCTGTAAAGTTTGGTGGAGGAGGGATAATGGTGTGGGGCTGTTTTTCAGGGGTTGGGCTTGGCCCCTTAGTTCCAGTGAATGGAATTCTTAATGATTCAGCACACCAAGGCATTTTGGACAA